CCCCCTCTCATTCCGATCCGTGCCCCCTTCAGGTGGTGAAGGATCGAATCTGCCTCCGTTCTCTGGAGAAGATGATGCACCAGCTGGTGGATTCTAAAGAGCAGGCTGAGCTGCACAGCGCCCTCCAGCCTCTGGACGTCAACGCAGACGGTAAACGGCTCCAAACCCAGAGCAAAGCCCGGTTAATATCCCCCATCTGCTGAGGCTTTTAGTCATTTATTCGTAAGGTTCTCCCAATATAAGGTTTACTCTAGTTTTGAAGTAAAAATCCCTTCGCCCTAATCGGCGTGCCAAAGTAAATGCCGTGCAGCCCGAGATGCAGAAATCTGAATCGCGTCTGCCTTATTTCCCCAGAGGCTGCAACGGACGATCCATCAAAATCTGCCAAGAGACCCAAAAGAGGTAAAGTGGTTTCTGAATTCCGCCGTTCGCAGCTGCGCTTTATTTTTAGAGCTTCTCAGAGCAGCGGAGTCAGCACTGGGAGGTGACCAGAGTGTTTGTTTGCTCAGGTCAGAGAAAAGCGGCAACCGGCAAAGCGGGCAGAAAACTAAGCAGGAGGGCGGAGTCATCAGAGGAGAGGTGAGTCCACAGGCCCCCCCTTTTTTTTTTTTTCAAACCACAAAGAAAGCTCTGCAATTGGTCAGTTTTCTGCACTTTGTCAGTCATTGCTTCTTTTCTGGTGTCAGCGATGGGGAAAACGTGCCCGAGTCGGTTCCCGCCGTGCGTCCATCACGGAGGGCTAAGACAGCGGCTCTGGAGAAGACCAAACTGGACCTCAACACCCTCATCGATCAGGAAGCCAACGTGTGATAAAAAGGGAAGGGGGGGAAGCAAGAGTGGCACATATTATATTTAAATTGTTGTATTCCGGAGCTCCGGCTGAACTTAAACCATTCCAATCTGCTCTGGAATCGTTTACTTTCAGAGATCTCTGCTCTCTGTGCAGTTTTGGGTTACAGCCACATTTTAATAGTCATCCAAACATGTCTTATTTTAGCTGTTGCTTTGTCAGTCACATTTTATCATTTTATTCATTAAAGTGGGATGTTGTCATACATCAGAAATCACTCTCTTTTCTCAGCACATTAAGTTTTATTGGGTCGGAAAACAGATTCTTTTTCTTTTGGTCTTACATGACTGTAAACAGAAGCTCCCACGTGTTAGTTGAAAACTCTTTATTGATCCAGTCACAGACACCTGTGTTGCATCTGTAATGAACGGTATAAAAACATGATAAAGAAAATATACAACAGGTTTTTAGCACCAGGTTCTTCAAACAAAGAGACGATGGTCTATTCTCACAGGGCTGAGCCTTTTCCACCTCCCTCAGGCTGAAAGGGTTACCATAGTGACACACGTATATACAAAGGGGAGTTAGGCACTATACTCACTATGGGGTTGAGTTCTGAGCTAAAAAAGCCAGACAGTGGATCCAGCAGCGTTCCAGCACGTGGCAGGAAAACAAACTGATCCGGAATTTGCTTTTATTGATCGACTCTAGCCTCATCTGTGACGGCTGATAAGCTCAAGAGCAGTAGGCCTAGCAGAGCCCCAGTGGAGGTAGGCAGGCGTCTCTTGCTGCAACGTGAGGGAAAAGGAAAGACCAAACAAAAAGAGAACTCCAGAGAAACAGCTAAATGTCTTTAAACAGTGAATAATGCTATGATTAAAAAAAAAAAAAATTTAAATTAATGCTATGGCAGCTGTTAGCTTTTAGTCATTCCTCTGCTTCTTTCAGTCGATAGTAGAGCAAATGTGAAAAACAACTGTCTGGCTAATTCCCTCTAACCAATGTGAGGGTAACGCCAGAGCCAACAACGCGCCTCGGATCTTAAATGGCTGAAATCTCAACCCATCATGGCTGTGGAGACAGATGAACTTAACATCCTAGGCCACTGGGACTCGTGTACATCCATTCATCTGTCAGCAATAAACCTATTTCTACATAATGATAAACCATCTGGGTTTGTATTGCACCGAAGAGATCCTCTAGGTTTACAGTAGGGGTTGCTAGTGGGACACACAATGTGCAAAAATGGAGGAGGAATCTGAACTGCGGGATTAATAATCTCAAATGGGATAGTGCAAGAGGTACATCTGGCGGCGACATCCAGCTGTGGGCGAGAACGGACAGATCCCACAACCCATCAAAAGGAGCAGGAGGTATGCTCTACGTTTGTATAATGCCATTTTCTTGATCATTTCTCACACCTCTTGTGGGTCGGTGCGGTTTTGGGACTGAAAGTGGAGCCAATGTACATTCTATTTGGTGCCGAGATGTCAGTAGAGGATTACAGCCGCTTATTGTCTAAAACAAAATTGGGCGTGGGCAGGTCCTAACCAGTCCTTCATTATGAAATGTTATTTGGCTACTTAAATGCAGAAAACAACAAATAATGTCAATATCTTTTTATGATAAAAATTACTTAATTCTTTTAGAATATCAAGAGCTCTATAGTAAGTGTTACAAATAAATAATAAAACAGTAAGTTTGGCAGGGTTTAGAGCAGGAGTGTCTTGAAGTGGTAAAGTTACAGAATTTCAAGAAGCTGTGTTGACCTTCATAAGGGGGGGGTGCTCAGGGTGAGAGAAATGCACTAATACAGTTGAGCCCCGCCCTTCCTTAAAACATGGCTTCACTAGCAAGACTCACAAGAGGTTTACTTATCCCAATAAAACATCGGATGCAGGGAGTTGTTCTCAACTCAGCAAATTTAAAAGAAACACGCACACACACAAAAAAAGAGCAAAAAAAACAAACATGAATCCATGGATAAAAATAGTGCAACGTCAAGCTTTTAAGTTAGAATGCTACATAACTGCTGAGTGCAAGACTGACCCATAGTTGGATAGTCAGTCCACATGGTCAGCTCAACGTCCAAAGGCACCATTACAAACCACAGTTCCTTTCCCAAGAGGAGGCGGCTTCGCGCTTCGATTAGTTTCCTGCCAAATTAGAGGGAAAAAGAGAGAAAGGAAGAACGCATTTTAATTTTGGGGGCATTTAACTCAAATTTGTTTAATTTATTATTTGAATTATTGAAGAGTGAGAGAGGGATAGTTACCCAACACGAAGTCGCACCATTTGGGCCCAGACAGGCCTCTCATTCGCGATTGTCTCAACGTTTTCGCTGGTGGTGGTTGTGGTAGTTCGGCCGACACACCCATGGGACTCTTGTATTTACCCCGCTCCCTCTCCTCTGGAACTGCCTCCTGCTTCTGTACTGAATTAACTGCAGAAACTGTCTGCTCTTTAGAGGCGGTCCTCTTACTCATGCTCCCTTTTCCCTCACTTTTCACAGCTTTAACAACTCCGACCAGTTCCCTCTCCTGCCCTGCAAAGAGGTAAGCAGAGGGTGACCCGTCATCCAGTGTGACGGTGCAGGACTCCCACTCCTCCTCCGCTGACTCACTGTCTGGAGAGTTGATCTTTCTCAGAAACACCCGGCACTCCTTCAGGGTCTCGGGACTCCAGGCTTTTGAACAGAGCTTCTGCTCTTTGTTTGCATCCACAAGTTCCTGAGTTTGGCTAGCAGAGCAGGCGGTGGGACCCGTCTCGAAACTGTCGGAGAACCGATCTTTTGTCGACGCTTTGCGTCCCGGTCGGGGTCCAGTTGCGTCAGGTCCACCCGAGAAGCGGGGGGCTTCTTTTCTTCGCTTTTTTAGTTTCTTTTGCCACCTATTCCTTTCTTTACACGTAAGGAACCGAGACCTTGCCCTTACCAGGGTGGCCTGATATCTACCTGAAGAACTGCGTCTCCGCCACAAAGCTCCCCGGCGGCGTTTGCCCGCCGCTCGGCTGGAGGCAAAAAGCCGTCGCCTGATGTCCTTCCTCCTCCTCAGCTGCTGCTGAGCCTGCTGATGCTGCAGAGGACTTTTTGGCACGGTTGTGGCAAACTTCTTGACGTGTTTGCGGAGTCTCTCTGCCTGGGGACTGTGGCGGGTGCTCTTCTTATTGGCCGAACGAGGAAAGTGTAGGAGCTCGTACGGATTGCGGGAGCTGGCCTTTTTGACAATGGCCAAAGACTGAGTCTCTGTGGTCTCCATGAACCAGGAGCGGATCTGCTGCATGCTGCAGGACCTCGGTCTGGTTGGGGAGCAGTCAAACAGCATTCGGACCACAGAGGGATGTTTCGACTTCCTTGCGAATGCGCCGTTCCCTTTGTTGTCGAGTTTGGAATTCAAGGTCCTTTCTTTTTCTTGGCCCTCAGCGGTGTCTGCAACCCACGTGTCAGAGATGACTCGTATGCGCCTGGCCAGCTCTTGGTTCAACGTCTTCTCCTCGGCGGACGGTGCCCACCACCTCAGCGTCCTGTTCGGGCTGAAGACCGAATCGACGGACGCCTCCGCCACTTTGCTCAGATCCTGAGAAACCGTGGCTCTGGCTCTTCCGCCGGGCCGTCGTTTCTCGGCCGACGCCTCGGCGCTGTTCCGCTGCTCCTGCCTCCTTTCGTTGCTTTCCTTTGTGAGCAGGAGCTGTTTGGAGCGCCGCAGCAGCGCGTTGCTGCGGCTGTATGATCTGAAGCCGGATGTAGCCACGGCATGCAGAAAGTGGATGGAGGGTTTTCTCACCCGCATCGAGTGTCGCACCGGTGCGGGCTGATGTGGGAGCTCGTCTTTACACTGGGTCCTCGCTTCCAGCCCCTCTTCCTTTCGCGTGCTCTTGCTTGTCGGCTGACGGCTGATTGTCCAGGGATCTTTGGCAGATTTCCCATCTGACAGCAGCGCCTTCTTGTGAGGCTGCGTTTCGGACGATTGCCGAGTGTCTTTGTCTAGCTGAATTTTGCGTTGCCGAGGCGACACTGTGGTGACGGTGACCGAGATTCCAGATATTTTCACTTTCGCCGGTCTGCCTGGTTTCCGTGAGGGTGTGGATTCCTCCTGCCCTAAAAATTTGACGTTGCCGTTAGACTGAGGGGCGGGCTCCATCGCGGGGCTGGCAAAACTTAGTTCCTCCGAAGCCCTTTTGATAGTACCTAAGGTCTTAGAGCGGTGCAATAAAATGCTCAAGTCGCTTCCAATATCCACTTTTTGCAGTGCGTCACTGAAGTCTGTTTGTAGCTGGTCAAAGCTCTCAGACACCATTCGTTTGTTTCTCCTTGAACGACCGTACAAAACGGTTATTTTGAGGTTCTTGTTCACACTGTCGTCAACATCAGATCCAGTCAGACATTTACTGTTCGATGATTTTGCCTCTTCTGCAGAATCTGCAGCAATCTGTTTACGTGGTCGACCAATGGGCCTCTTGGCTTTTTGTTCCAAACGTGGTCCCAGCTTTTTTGGCCGACCTGGGCGTCTTTTTGGAGGAGTGGTTTCATTGACAGGTGGCAAGTCACCCGGTGATCGCCGAGCCTCAGATCCGGATAAAGACTTGGAGGGAGTACAATCAGCAGATTTTCGAAGGCAGTTTTTAGGTGATGAGGGCACAGACCTGGGCGAGGATGCCGACTTAGATGGTGAAGATGGAGACTTTGCTGGCGAGGATACAGATCTTGTGCACGAAGGAGCAGATTTTGGAGGTGAATTAGCAGATTTTGGAGGCGAATTAGCAGATTTTGGGGGTGAATTAGCAGATTTTGGAGGCGAATTAGCAGATTTTGGAGGCGAATTAGCAGATTTTACTTGAGATGTTGCACAACCATTGTTCTGGCCTTTGCATTTCTGAGGCGTGCCTCCCCATGAGGACTCTTCATAAGGGTCAAAATGTTCTGTTTGTGTACTAGAACCTGCTGACTTGAGACTATATCTAATTCCTTCCTTAACCTTTACTGGTGATACAAACATAAGTTTAATTGGACTAGTGTACTCGGCTTGGGTACTGGAAAGGCTCTGAACACAGGTAGATGTGATGGACAAATCCATGTTTGGATTTTCTGACCTGTTAGAGACCTGTAGTGTTTTTGAAAATGACCGTAGTCTCCTACTAGAAGAAAAATCATTGGCATCCGTTTCTTTTTCGGGGCTGTCTTTTTTATAAGACTCTTCCTCAACAGGCATCATTTGCTTCTGATCTTTCAACTGTGTGCTAGACATTTCACATTGTTCTTCCTGTTTGAGTTCAAAGGGAAGCGTCTTTGTACACTCTGATAGATGGGCATCACTTCTTGATTTAGGAGTGTCATGAGCATCACGATCTTTGGCTACATCATGCAGGATGCTAGGTGTCAGAGCCTCGTCATCTTGTGTACTGTTGCTCATCCCTTCAGACAAACTGGTTGTAAAGAACATTCGGGGCTCTGTAACATAGGAAGAAATCCACAGCGGGGGTACTATATGTCTTGTGGATCTTCTTACTCCCATGGAGTGGCCCGATTGACATTTTTGATCCTGTCTAACAGGGCTATGAGAATCTTTACCAAGTGTGTCATTTTTACCGGAGCTTTGTATCGGTAGGACTTCTGCTTGGTTTTTATCACTTGCCTCATTAACACCTTTACAATCTTCTCCAACGAGACCGCCCAACGGAGTCACAGCAACTGCAGTCTCTGTTACAACCTCTGTTTTTACGTTTGAGTCCCTTGTTTCATCTGTACTCTTTTGCCCGGGACGGTGTGCCTCAGCACTTGTTGAAGCAAGTTCTTTTCTCTCAGTCGGTATCTCCCTTTCTTGCTCTTCACTAACACCCCGTAGATCGTCTGGTACTATAACTGCCTGTATATTCTCTTTAGCTTCCTCCTCATCTTCTTCCCTTGTGAGCTCGATCAGTGTCCCCTCCCCAGCCATATGGCTCTCTAGTTGCTCTACACCAGCTTCAATTTCTCTTTTAGAGACTGCTTTATCTAGGTCAGGGTCTGATGGAGTACCCGATGCAGTTACTGAAACGGCCCCATCTTTTAGTCTTGCCCTCTTTGCTGTGGGTCTCTTCCTCCTATTACAAGACTGATCCAGCATGGCCAGATCCCGTTTGATTTGTAAAGTTTGCCTTCTGGTGTACGCATCATCGGCACGGGTTGCTATGGCGTTCATGACTTCCTTGCGACGGCGAGCGCGAGTATTGGGTGACTTTGGGGCTATGTTATCATGCTTGTTGAACAGCTCACTAAGACTGTAGTCGCTAGAGCTGCCGGTGTGCAGCACCGTGGTGATGATTTCAGTCAGATGAGCGTCAGCGTGGCACTGCGGGCTCTGACTGGTCGAGGGAAATTGCGGCTGCTCTTTCTCAGAAGCGTAGATCGCCGTGGAAATAGGCGCAGGGTCCTTGTCTAGTGATGTGATCGTTTCCAGTTTCTGACTGAAACGAGTCACGACATCTTGCAGCGAAGCCCCACTTGGGTTCTGATGAGCCCGCTTACTAACCAGGGCTTTGCACTGCGGCTCATTTTCTCCGGCTGCAAACATATCCGCCACCATGAGGCTGCAACTTACTGGTCTGCTTCCACCCATAGGGTCAGGTTCCTCCCCCTGTCTGTGGTGGAGGAGGGATGGTGGTTTTTCGTCTGCTTTTTTCTCCACGTCTGTGGGGATGGGTGAAAGAGGGGGAGGAGAGGGGCTTTGCTCTCTTTTGAGGACAGGGCAGTGATGATCTCCTTCTCCGGTGCATTTTTCGACTGCGTTCCTGATGTGTCTCAGACAGATGTGGTTTGGATAACACGAACTAGAGTCCCCCTCGTTCTTTGTGCAGCACACCGATGCACATAATCTAGAGGGGGGAGCGCACAGCGAGGACTGGGATAACAGAGGAGACGATGCAAAAGAATGCACTATGCTGTTTATGCGGCCGATGGCTTGGTTTTGGCAGGAGAGGCAATGCAGCCTCTTAGAACACAGAACGCCATAGCTTTCCGTCCTGCACCGCTGCACGCAACTGTAGTTTGAGCCCCGCTGACCTTCACTGTTGCAGCCTCTGAGAGAGTGATGATGGATGCTACAGCTGGACTTTGAGGCTTCGGAATGGTAGGCGCCGCCGCACTGAGTTTGTTGGCCAGAATCGACCGACGGGCAGCACAGGCCGTGGCCGAGGGCTTTACATTCACTAAAACGGACTGGATGAGGTGCAATGTTATCCTGTGGTGGTACACCACAGTGACAGCAGTGAGATTCAGTCTGACCAACTTGTCTGTGGTTAAATAACGGCAGCAGTTGCTCCTGGTGAGCTAGCTTCAGGATTTGGTAGAGCAAAGACTGGTGAGCTGGGCAGAGGGAACGTAGTACCCCATCCATCGCAGAATCCTGGCAAAACGCAGTCCCTCGCCGTCCCAGATCTCTCATTTCTTCCGTGAACGACGACAGCCGGGAACTACGGGGCAAGAACGGAAAGACTGGATTTAGGAGGCTTTCCTCATAACTAAGCTGAGGTTCAAAGTAGAGACAACAAATATGTATTCAAATATTATTAACAGTACACTTCATTCTATAAATGGTCATCTTAGGGAAAACCAAACCCATTCCCTCTCCCTTCTTAAATGAGTCTTTCAGTCTAACACTGTAGGCTCTGTTCTCTAGATTATTTTAACCTACTATCGGCTGTAAATTAGACGCCCCATTTAAAGAAAAACAGTTGGGGCACTGTAAAAGAAAAATATAGCAAAAGAAAACAAAGACTAATTCATTAACCATGAGTCACCTGATACTTGAAATATTTCATATCTAACCTAGAATATGGACTGAGGCAAGATAAAAAAAAAAGGTCTTTTGATTTGACAAATCAAAATTTTTCTTTGTAACCATGAAAGTGTAACTTCCTCTCTGCAGAGTACAGGAAACAATTTGGCGAGTTAGAAACACTCAGCTGAAGGAAGCAGCCATTAGTTTGTGATAGTACATTAGTGCAACTGACGCGGGCAACTTCTGTTGCAGAACCAATAATGCTGCAACGCTGGTCCTGTTCAACATGTTAATGGAAATCACATTAGAAAAGTGAGTATTCCCAGAAAAGCTGTACTACATAGCAAAAATAAACACACAAAATTTTAACCAAAGGTGCCACAAACTGTTCAGCTGCTCGACAGGATTTCAACACGGCAGCAGTTTTGCAGATCTTCTGTTTTGAATGCTTAATTCTCTTTTCCTATACAGTCGTATATTGATCCCATTTATATTTGTGGTGAATGATAAGCAACCCTCCACTACTGATAAAATTACAGCTTCTATGCAATCTAGACGCAAGAAAAGTCATAACAGGAGGTCGATTAAATTCGAGAACTGTTTTATTGATGAGCTGCTGAAGGCAAATGTTGACATTCTGCTGAAAGCAGAAGGATTGTAGAAACGCCCAAACTAAAATACGTTTTTTTTTCAACAGCATCTTTTCCAACAGTTCAAAAAACACCCTCTCATGTTCAAACCCAATGGCTATTAGTGAAAACTTTACTGAAGAATCAATGTAGTAGTTCAACAACATTTGAACTTTTTTTAAAGGTAAGACTCTGAAAGCTTTTCCCTTCTGCGTCAGGACTCAACTTGAATGCAGCGTGACATTCATAGCTGAGCTCGTGACGGTTATCAAATTAGTTACCAAAAAACCTCTTAAATCATTTTAACAGCAAATTAAGCACTAAACAACCACAACAGTCAGAAGTCTTGTTTCTGGAGTAAATAAATTATAGAAGCAAATATTACAATGCAAAACGCACTCATGCAGTTGCAGCACTAAACGCATCACATGTGATCAAAGTGCCCCATTACAAATCAAGAATCACCACAATCAAACTAAAAATCACAGTTCTGGAGCACAGTTAATAAATAAATAAATAAATAACACAAAGAGGGGGTTCCACAATAAAAACATCTAATAAATCATAGTGCAATGATCGAATTATGCATAAATAGTCGTATAATCAAGCTGCTTAATGGAATTTACAGCAGTGCAGAAAAAGAGCCTTCATCTTGAAATACAGCTGATTTCAAGAATAAATTGCAATTAAGCCTGTACAAAAAAAGGTCTCAATTAATTTCTCAAAAGGGTTTGTTTGCAAACTGCCCCTCGGAGTACCCGGCAATATTTACCACTGTAAGCACATACATTCAGGAGTATTTGTACAGCTCCCAGAGTTACAAAGATAAAATGCACCGACATTTTCCAAAAATGAAGAAAACAAACGTTAAACTAGTAATCTACAGCTTTATGATCGTTTCCAAATGACCAGAGATAACCTAGATGAGAAAGTAGGTCAAACAACTTCAAAATGACACCGTTAACTGGCTTTGGGTACAATATTTCCTTCACACAATTAAACTGTTAATGTCAATGAATTCGCACCGTGTGGTGTTCCTCCAGAGATAAGAGCTGTGAGCGTTCTAAATCGAATAAGAGCTCTAGCAGGAGGAAATCCGGAACGTTAAAGACTGAAGACTTGATATGAAACCCGGCACAGGGGTTCAGGCAGTTCAGCAAAGTTCAGAGGTAATATGTGACGACGAGGTTGGCGAGTGTGACAAACAAGCTGAAAATTCCAGCAAAACAAATCAAAGCAGCTTTTGTGCGGCTAACCCTGAAATGCTGCTTTGGTAGTAGCATTAGAAATGGAAATAGGCCCATCTGACAGGCAGAAAAGAGCAGAGACGCAACACAATAAAAAAAACTAAACAACAACAAAACCGTGTATGCTTTCATAATTATAGTAAAAATATCAATAATAATATGGTCACAATGACAACTCTTTACTAAAGCCTTTAACTACCATAGCTTCCAGTCGCCAACACAATTAACCATCAATAACAATAATGAGAACAACACATGCAACATATGCTAATCTGTCTTTTGGGGCTCATGCACTTTGACTGCATCTTTGAATCTGCAGTCGCTCTGGAGGTTTCGACGAAGCTACGCACATCCGTGTCAGGGAGAAAAAACAGTCCAGTAAAGTTAAGCAGCAATCATGTGTGAGGTTAGCGGTAATACGGCTACAGTAGCAGAGTTAATAAATACGGGTGATTAGAAAAAGAAAATCAGAAAGAACATCCTTCACAAACTGTACACGTAGACATTAACGGACGTTTCCCAGGCTAATCAGTGCACATTTCGGAACATGCTGCGCATTTGCATTCCAACAATACCCAACACAATGTTCAAACTAGCTCGCCCACAAGGATTGGGGGGTTGGGGGGGGTGGACACAAAATGGCTTTAAGCTGATCTCTCGAGTGAAAACCCATCAATCATCAAGATGTCGCCACAATGGCATTTTGCACTGTACAATCGCCCTGTTTTAAGCGTCTAGCAATAGTTATGAGCGTTTCATCTTTTTCAATGGCTCTAAGTCACTTAAAAGAAGCTGGGCCAGATACCCAGAGATAGAAAGCTGTAAATGACAATCATCGATGCTCCCTCAAAGAGGAGATTTAAGAATTTAATTACACCTGAATAACCTAATAATTTAACACCTAGCAAACGTGAGAGTCACACTTTAATTCATATCGATTAAAAAAAAAAAAGGAGGTCCACGACTGAAGTGTGTTTCCGTCAACTAATCCATAGCAGCCTTTTAGACCACATTCGTGGTCGGATTTTCTCCCAGAAAAGAAATCTCTTAGTACCCTGGAGGGCTAGATAGATAAAGATGGTATAATTTCATTTTATTACAACCAACAAATCCCAAAATTTGGCAACATATCTGGATGTTAAAAAATAAATAAAAACAATGTGGGAATCCTTAAAATAGTCCTGAGGTATGAAGAAACCCTTTTTGTACTGGATCGTGCAAAAAAATGATGGCAGATCAGATTAGAAGCCGTATGCATTAAACAAATGTGTATATGGCTGAGGTCCACCAGCATCTAAAACCATCACAAACTAAAATCATATTTTTTTCCGTACACATATCAGAGTGCTGGACGGATGAATGAGATGCTCACTTCAGGTATGGAGCTGACAAAAAACAAACAAAAAAAAAACCTTTGGGATTTGTTGATTGTAAGAAACTGGAAAGAATTCTAAGCTAAATTCTACAACATCTATAAGCTTCAGTAATCTTCAGGAGTCTGTGAGGAGGAGTCTGTTTTCGTTTGGCAGGCCCTGTAAACATAAGATGCCTGAGGCATCACTGCTTTTTGGAAAGAAATAAAGACGCCGCATTTAGAAGACGCTCTAAATGCAGCCAAGGACTATGGCAGAAAAATACAGCTCAAAGTATGACTATCACATTACAGACAAACAGTTAAATGACCTGAATAATCATATCCGTGTGTTTTGTAAAGGCATGTGTTGTGTTTTAACAAAGAGTCTCCGGAAAGTGTTTATCTTGTAAGAGGTGGAGTGTTCAAGTGTTGAGGAGTTTGAGGCGTTCCGAGGTCTAGAACCTCTTTGTGTCGGCAGCTGAGGCAAGACTTCCTGAGTTAGTGGAACCGGCTGTTGAGCCGGATCCGAATAAGTTGGAACCGGATGAGCAAAAGTTAGTGGATTTCTTCTTGGGGGGGTTCTTCAGTGTTCCAGTGCGCTCTTTCACTTTATATTCCAGTGTGCTGTGGGGCACCCCGTAAACCCCTTGGGCCTTTGAGACGCTCATGCGACCACCCATCACCATGGTGATAGCTTCTTCCATCAGTTCGTGATCATACTGGCGGTAGCGCCCGCGTTTCTTTCGAGGCTGCTTGTCTTTATCCCGGCAGCCTAGCCCGTCTTCGGACTCATCCAGAGAAGATCCGCGGGGTCCCAGGCGATACGGCGGCTGGCCGGCGCTGCCCAGGCAGCCTTGTGCCAAGAACGGAGGTCTGAGTTTGAAGAGGGACGAGGGTCTGGCAGATGCTGCGGACAAACTGGCAGTACCCTCGCTTAATGAGGTACGCGGATGGAGCTTCTCAGCCCCGCCGGGATTCTCCACCGAAGCCGACTTGCTGTGGTCGGACGCCGAGCGGACCTGAGGAATGCGCAGGGGGGCGGGGGATTCCAGGCTGGAGGTCGGGCTTGGCGGGGGCTGGAGAGGATCCCTGAGCTGGGAGAAACCGTGAGAGAGGGTCTTTTGGAGACCACCTGACTGATAGAGGGCCAAATGGGACAGCGGGAGACTCAAGTCCCCATTCTCCTCTGCGCCTTCGCCGATCTCTGCTCGCTCCGCCCAGGCCGCCACTTTTTGCAGAACAAGACGGGCCTCGCCGCCCAGCATCGACGACATTGCGCTGTATGACATCACTTCATCCCTGAAATCTCTGCTCGCAGATGTCAGCTGACGCAGAAACCCCTGCCTCCCCTCGGCCCGGCCGTCCAAACCTTGCCTGAGGGTTTGAAGGGGAATCCCATAGAGCAAAGCAGCCCGCTGCTCCTGCAGCCTCCCTGAACGGATATCCTTCAGAGCCTTGGAGAGCAACCCTTCTGACAGCTCCCAGCTCCTCTCTGTGTACTCCTTCTGCCTGTGCTGCCTCCTAGGGATGGGAGGACCAAACAGCAGGGTCAGGATGGAGGTGATGGACGGGGGTTTGATTTTGGCATAGGGGACAGGGGTGATGTAGACCCAGGGGTCCACTCCTTTATGCCTTGTGTTGGTAACATCACTGCGACTGTTAGTCTCATGTCTGTTATGATTTCAGTTTGATTCTGGGCCCTCAGACACACGCTGCTGCCGTGTGTCTGTCACGCGCGCACGCACACATTCACCGTGCGCGGCAAAGCCTCTTCACGTCCAGGTGGGACAGTCTGTGAATGGCTGGGATCACTTTGGCGCCCACCTATAGCCCCTGTAGTTTTGTGATTTCCAGCGAGACTCTTACGTGCTTGAAGGTTGCGTTTTCAAACTCGTGACGGATCAGTTAAAAAAACGGCAGGGAAATCATTGCGATGCACTGCGAGATTCTCGCTTTACAATCCTGAGCTGTTGGCAAGTATGGCAATACGGCCTTTGCTGTGACGTTACCGCTCAAGAGATAAAAGAGTCAACCCCCGAAAAAGAAAACCAATGAAGACACACTAGCTCAGATGACTTGTCATTACAAATGCACTTAAAAATAGAAGGAAATGAGTCGGGCAGGAGATGTCAGCTGACTTACTCAAATCAAACAAGTAAAAAAACAAAAAAACAAACACAGAAATATAGGACAATATTGATGTTAACCTACTCTGTCATGCTCTTGACTTGAAATAAGCTGTGGTCAGCCGTGCTGAACTAATTCAGTCATCAGAATGTCCTCACTAAAAAGATTTAGTCAAATCGAATTTGAACCAAAAGCTTAAATCAAGAAGATCTATTGTTGAATTTACCAGGAGCTCAAGGTCTAAATTGATGGTTACAAGATTTTTTTTTATACATACATTTTCATCACATATTTGAAAACACCTAAATCATCCAAACACCAACAAACTCTTACCCTGAGGCTTTGTGATTAGATGATGACGTAACTGCCGAGTTGGCTAGATTTCGGAAGGAGAGGTCCAGGACGCCATCTGTTACGAGACAATTCAATTTGACAATGTGTAGGGTTTAAAGACAGTGGCGTAGGTAATTTTGTCCAACTTTACTCTGCAGGAAAATAACCTTAAAAAAAGGAGGGAAAAAAAAGATGGAAATTGTGTTTAAAGTCTTTCAAATGCCTCACTTACCGGGTTCGGGCTCAATCTCTTTCTCCTCCACTGTTCGGCTCACTGTGAGGTCCAGGGGGCCATCTGGTGTTTCTGATAAAGGTGAGGAGGTCCCTGTGACACCGTTTGTACTGGTGCGGAGCAGGCACTTGGAAGCATACTCCACAGCAAACTGATGTATCATCTTCCTCATCAGCTCCTGAGCGACCAGAGGTATGTTTGAATCACAGTCTGTGGGCACATCTAATGGGAGGAGAGAAAAAAAATACACAGATGGAAATCAAAATTATATTCAGTCAGTGGGTCACAAATTTAACAAGCTTATCCCATCCAGCAAAACCCAGGTAACTGTGTGCTGCCATGAATCACGTGGAGCTGACAAGCAGTGAATCGAGGCTACTGGACTGTAAATGGAGCCCATATCCCCATCAAATCAAGCCACTAATCTGGCCAATTATAAACCATCTGCTCTTTCAATCAGGTATAAATTCATTAGTGTAATGTAGAGGAGAGGCCAAATAAGTTGTACCTTAGTGTGTTAGCATCAGAATGCCAGGTTACCAGCTAAAGCAACATGCTAGTGTGTGGCCCACTGGTCCAGAATATGAACACTAGCCGACAGCTTCAATGTGCTAATGTCCAGACAGGAAAGTGGATGGCCTTACTACTAGCTTGATTTAGGAGTTTCTGATCAGCTCAAATGACAATTTTTCTGTTTACCAGATCAGTGCCTGCCTTGGAAAAAATGTGAGCACTGCTTTCAATTCAATAGGTTAAATTTTGTGGCTTTCCCAACACAACACATGTAATTGAATGAGTAGTAGAACAGCAAGTGTTACTATTGCGAGGAACCTGCTAGAGAATGGCCTCTACAGCCTTGTAGAACAATTATTGTGAAAGTCTATGCAGGGAGGGCTTTTGTACAGGTATTAGCTTGTAGAAGGGCAAAAATAAATGTTTCATTGCATAAACTTTGCAGATAAAAATTCGAAACCTGAAGAATTACACAAAGGAGCAGAGTGTGTTACTGAGAAAACAGCCTGAAGTGGTCCAATCTGTCTCATGAGTAGTGATGAGAATCAGAAATAACTTAACTTCTGATATTTTCTCTGGTTATCAACTCACAAACGTCAAGACTTTGATTTACACTTTGCATAAAGAGCAGCTGAAGTTTGCACACCTTTTTCATTTTGGCATTACACATTCAGACATTCAAAAAAGTAATATGCTGTAAATTAGATCATTTTACTGCCATGTGGGGACAGTCAGACAACAGTGTGGTACATTTTCAACTGCTCTTTGTTGTGTTGTGGTGCCGTTTTGGAAAAGACATAAATCAAGTTTGGACAGCTGGAGCTAAACTATATTAGGAACTGTCCTAATACCGGGTCTGACCTTTGATGGGACATCGACGGTTATCAGCGACCAAAATGAGTTAGCATCAAAGCACCATCTTTATAGCCGCTGTGTAGGCAACGTTTATTGGGCTTTGCCACTAGTTCCTACTCAGCTGGGTTCGGCACTTTTTTTTTAGCATTTCTGCTAGGGGGCTGATACATGCTAATAGCTGATAGGTTCCGTTTTAACTCCTACTCGACAAGGGTTCAAAGCAGGCCCAGTCAGCTTGACTGCTGGCCACTGATTGGCCACTGAGTCTTATGATTCAATAAGAAACTACTTCTCGGAAACCAAAAAAATCTCAGCCTTAATTACTTCTGTGATCATCAACATTGTTTTGTGCCCAATACATGGGCCTACATGGAGGGACAGCCGGTGTATGTTCTTCATTATGGCCTCGTGCTTCAGTTGTTTACAATGACGTCACAGACCTCATTTGTAATGGGAAAACCACCTAAAACAATTGGTGGCGAGGTGAGTAGAGCAGGCAGCTGAGTAGGTACTGATGAAAAAACCCCAATAACAAAGACGGCTCGCCTATACAGATGCCTTAGAGCTACACACATGAATACTATTACCATAAGAACGTTCTTCTAAAAAATTAAAATAAAATAAAATAAACATTGAAAATGGAGGGGGGAAAGTGGCCTTTCCCCCCTATGCAAACTATGCATGCATAAACCCACATTACACAATAGCCTCATTGCCTTTATTTCTCTAATGTATTCCAAAATGAGGTGGAAATAGCCTCACCTTTCTTGTGAAACACAGCTTGGAGGAACCTGTGTGCTGACTGGCTGCTCTCAGAGAGGGTCAGGGCCTGACAAGGAGAGTAATCAGAGGGGGAGGAGGGAGGCGACGAGGCTACAGGTGCGGGATCCTACATGAAAAAGGGAGACATTTTTTTCTTTTATTGATTTCCCCCTTGCTGTATAACATCTGTCAAAAAAATCAAACAATATTGACTGACTGGACGGCTCCGTGGCTAAATGTGACTATTGGTTGACAATCCTGAAAGCAGCTCTTACACTGAGTTTGTCCAGTGAAAGGTTACAGAATGAACACTGAGAACGGCTTGCTTCTGGGGACCAATCATCCACTTCTTCTGGTTCACAGTCTGAAAGGAGGGAACAGAAGACACACAGGCGTTATCAAATAAGGGTAAATCAGGGCTCAAACTCACTCGTGTTGATGTTGCTTAACAGAGAATTTCAGAGGCATCCAAACGGTTATGTCATGAAAATTCTTTGCAAAATGTTGACATCTGAAGAGTCTTTGTCTGACCATGAGTGAGACAGAAAGTAACACACAGGTCATCTGAGACAGGGCGAGTAAATATGCAAGCTCACTGCAGTGATTTCAGCTGTTTTTTTTCCAGCAATGACTGCCCGCTGGCTCATCTGTACTGGAAATGTGTTGATGGACGCAGCCTTTGGAATCTTCTTTGCACAGGTAGAAGTAACTTCACTGTCTGGTCTGCGCATCTGTGGGCGCATTAATGTGTCACAGTGGAGTGTATATGTTTTCAGCGCCTGCTTCGTGTCAGGCTCAAATCCCTACATAGCAAAGAATTATTCTGTTTAACCCTGGATCTACGTGGCCTAGACAAGATCTTGCTCTCAGGCATCGGGTTAGCTACAAAAGAAATAAACATAAATGTGTATACGGACATTTTCTGTGGAATCCCCTTTTCAGCAGCTGTCTGATTAGGAGGTGGCTTTATTCTGAACAATGAGACACAGCAACCTGCCTCCAGGCAGAGTATAGATCCAGAGCGTCTGACAACATCCCACGCAATATTTTCACCTCCAGTCGCCTTGATGAATAGAACAATGAAAGATGATTGTTTATGTGAGAATGTATGCATGAACGGGGGAGGGGACATAACTTTGGAATGATCAGAACGGTATATCATAAATCTGACTTGATTTGTTTACATCACGTTAAAAAAAATCTAAAAATCTAAATGAAAATCGCCCAAACTTGTTGGTTTGCAAACATTTTCAGGTAAGTTTCTTTGGCCTGCGAAGCCGAGTAGGCGCTGCTAACCCATTGATGCATGCCAGAGATAGGAAAAAGGAGTGCCTCATTCAATATATCATTTGATTTGTGATGCTTACAGAGCCTTGGCCTAAAGTTTCTAAAGATAAGCGCTCTTTTGTAGCATTAAAAAAAAGAAAAAACTGAAAAGATAATTGTGAGGAAAAGAACTACTCTCAGTGGGTTGTTGCCCACTGCAGAGGTTTAGAAGCAGTGCAACACATGCAAACAACGATCAAACAGGCCATGACTTGATTAAGTTCAACCAGCTACTTCCAAAGGCCTACAATGATTTAGCAGATATGTTAGTATGACTCAAATTTGAACGCTCCTCCAAGATGGAATCGAGGAATCTCCCAGCAAAAATATCTGTTCAATATAAATAGTGTTAAGATGTGCAAAAAATAAAATAATCAGCTGATGAGAAGCTACGGTACCTCCTTTTTTGCTCCTAGGGTACAACATAAGAAAATAGCCAGTGGTCTGACCATTTGGATATAACATTCCAACAAATGTATCTGTGTGAAATCAGAGCTTGGTATGGATGCACAAAATGACCAATGTGTTCACATGCACACAATTAATAACCCACCAACAAACAAATTGAGGTCTTTCAGCAGCATCGGGCCGTAGATTCCCTCAAGAATACATTCAAACCCTGCAGGACAAAAAGATCAGAGTCAATATCAACATGAGCAAGATGCTTGAAATACAGGACATTTGGGTACAGGCTGTACATTCGGTCCCAGAGGTCATAAAAACGCCAAAAGTCTGCGGTTGTTACGTCTTTTCCTGTCAACTGCGTTGCGACAAAACAGCGAAACTTCAGAAAAAAAACACTTTCTAATGGCTAGTGGTCTTAACTCTACGACCAATACACATCATTATGGACAGTATTATTGACAACAATGGGAGTTTATATTCGTTCTGATTTCGACGTGATGAATAATCGGCGTAAACAGAGATAGCCTTTCGTTGACAACTAGTTTATGTAGCACAAACAATGATATAATACATAAAACTATGGGAAGTGACCAAATGTAACAAAGGAGCAATGAAGAGAACACTTTTTTTTTTAACATTGCACGACGACAGCTTTCCTAACGATAACAATCTACCCTCTCCCAAGTGACAGCTTAACATTTACCTTAGCTTAGCGTCGTATTACCATAACTAACATAAATGAATGTGTCAGTGAACAAAGACAGCTAACAACGATACTGTCCTGAACAATAAACACGATAAGCCTAAAAGATGGGTAGACGCAACCTCCACCGTTATATAAAAGCGTCCGCAAAAGCCGACACCGGTGGACAGCTAACTAGCTCATGGTGACAAACAAAGGGAGTCAACACGTAAAAGCTAGCGGGTAAATGTTAGCCGCCGCTGTTCACTTCCAATGGAGCGATGGCTAACAGCTAGCAAGTGCTTAGCTCGCTAGCACAAGCTAGCAATACAACATAGCTCGACACCGCAATCCCTCTGCTACCGGGCATTGTCTTTTGAGTCCGGAGACGTTTCACAAAATAACCAAGTGCATGTAGTTCGTACCAACGCAGTGGACCAGTCTGTGTCGCCAAGAATCAAGTTCCCGCCGAAAACCTTTTCTTTCTGCCGTGCATTTGGTGCACTGCACGGCCGCCATTCTCGCTCCTACCCCCCTCTCTCTCCCTCTGTTTAAGCCACACGGGGAGGCTGCAGCACAACTACCGTCATACCATCGCCCACCACTAGAGGGAGCTTCCTCGGTGTGCTTGAAGACGTTGTATAACCAACTTTTTGCCTATATGACCGTTCACCGTACGCATGTGGGACGCTGTCAAATTTACGTTAAAATCTGAATGATCTTTTACAGTATTCCATCTGTTCTCTTAAATCTACTCTTATCGGTCGACATTCTATTTCATTTTAAAGCTAAATGTGTACCCCTGTTTAATTCATTCAGTGTATTTGTGAAATTTAAGATATTTAAAGTGGATAATGTTTCGATGAAAAACCGTTTCTGGGAAGCATTTTTTAGTCTTGACCTTTCAGCTTTAGTGGCCGCACAGCAGGGACCGTAAACCATGTGTTGTGCCATATGGGCAGATGACATATTTAGCTTTTCTCAACTATTCTTACGTGTATTCCACCGGTTTTTCTACTTTAACAGCGCTCTGTATGAGCAATGCTTGCACCACAATTGCATTGTTACAGAAGATAACTCCTTGTTAGATGTCATAGATAGATATTTTTTTCTGCTGTAGTTTCACAACTGTAGCTCAGCTTCTAAGATTATACCAAGTGCGGTTGAATTCTTGTTACGTTATGCTAGATTTTCCTGATTTATTTCCCAGATTACATGGAGCAGCTTTCCAGAACTTGGACGTTTCAAAGAGGTTAGAGAAAAATACTGACTATTGACCAAAGGGATGGTCAGCTCTTCCACACGTTGACCACACGAGGGCAGCAGACTGCCGTCAAAGCACGCTCAGTGTTTCGTCGTTCCTGTGTTGCCTTAAAGTGTTAATCTCAACACAGGGCCAAATGGATCGACGCGAAGATACAGATCTCAGCACGATTAATCCTTTTGCCCTGAATTCCATATATTTGGCATGTGTGAGTTACAGCGGTGAGTTATAGTGGGCCTGTCAATGGGGAAGCCAAACATCGGACCCCTAAGGAACCTGAAAGTTCCCACTTCTTTGTGTGTCACTTTGAATAAATTGCAATGGCTTGTAAATTGAATGGGATTACACGCAGCTCCAAAACACATTATGCACTTAAGTGTGGACTTAAGGGTGCGCTTGTATTATCCGGAGGGACGTGGTAAACATGCATTATGAGGTATGGTGTTGAGCATTTGAGGACAGTGTGCGCTTTATATGCACTGTGCTTTATTTGTGGCTATCAAAAAGCAGGTTGAATCGAACTTCATCACGGTTACCCCAAGTTCTTATTCCATCTCAGGCTGACCTGGTAGGTGAGTCGAGCCACGCACCCAGGAGAGTCATACCCCTGGCATGAATGCACCCATGAGGAAAAGACTCAACCTTGAGAATGGAAATGATTTTTGGAGGGACACGGGCAGGAAGGCTGATTAGAGAACATTTGCGATCAAGTTATAAGAAGCTGTGGAGGACTGCAGCACAGATATGTGACTGAATGCTGAGTGCTGCAGAGGCAGCGAGCGACACAGGCCCAGGTGGAATTCATTGTCACGGTGACTTAAGGTGCTGTTGCTGTGGAGATGGCGATGAAAGATGTAGTCTAGTGAATGGCATTTCTGAGCCAGAGCGTGACCAACAGCATACAGCCCGCTGTGCTGTGAGGACAGGGATGATTATGTGTAGGGTCACCATAATGCCACGATTACGAGTGCTTTAGGCATGTCTGTCTAAGAACCGTGCGCGCGAGCGCGTGCTTGAATGCTCGTGTGTCCAGGTAGCGGGACACTGCAGGCTGCTGCCAGTGTGGCAACAGATTTATTGAGCGGTCAGGAAATGAGCAGCAGCTTAACACCGAGGTGTTGGTCCCGGTGCTTCTTCTGGAGCAACCCAGAGGACCTCTTAACACTTCAGCTACGCACACGCCTTACTGAAGGGAAGCTCAGAGGCGCGTGTTTGCATGTGTGTGCGTGTGTGTGTAAAAATGCAAGATTTTCAAAGGAGGGGCACATTAGCAACACGTTTTTTATTTCCTTCCATTTTGTTGCTTCAACAAGTCCAATTACAGCAGCCAGAAACAGCCACTGCTGAAAAGCTAAAAGTGGAAAAAAGAATCCAGATTGACTTAAAATAATCGAGGCATGATGAAAACTAAATGATCTATCTTTGTTAGTTAAATGCACCCCTTCTTTACTCAAACCATACATCTACTCCTATGAGAGGTAAGGGATGGAACAGAGAGAGTTAACTATTGGTTCACGTTCTCCGTTTCCTGGAGATGGCAGTGCAGATGATGCTTGTTAACATGGTAGTCAATTAAATTTACAGGTGCGTTCCATGAGTATTTAGTTTTGCTTTTAAAAAATGAAAACCAGAACTCCATCTGCTATAAAAGAAACACCTCACGTTTTTAATATGAAAAGGATTTAGCTGGTATCAGTACACTTTTATTGTTCACACAAACTATTAAAGTGACTCAGCATGCTCACTCAGTGGGAACTAGTTTCCCTCGTCCTTTGTGTCTTGGAAATGATTGCGACGCATGTTTCCCATTGCATTTTTACTGGTTTAATCCCGCCCTAAACAGGAGGCATCTTGCTGGGTTTATTACGCTTTGAATCTTTATTTTCATTTACTCATTGATTTATTTATGCACAGATGTGGACTTTATTTTGTTCTCTGTAAAATTTAGAACAGATTTGATCAAACTTCCTTGTGAAGTGCACCATCCAGTAGGGGTCCAGTTTAATTAGATGGAGTTGGATGAAGGACAAGAAAATGCTGTAAGTGTAATGAACGAACTCAGGACCCAAAAGCAGCCAGAGACGTACGGTC